ATATATATATACAAAATATTTTGACACCAAATTTTGGGCTTCCATTCCTCCCTTAAACTCACACTTGTTAAAAATATAAAACAAATATTCCCAATAAAATAAAATAACCAAAATACCCCTGAAAAATTCTAAGGATATTTTGACTATTATATTATATCAAAAAAAAAAATTACTATTTCTTTTAGGTGCACCCCATTGAGAGTATGAGACATACCAAATTTCATATTCATACAATTTGTAAAAAAAATTAAAAATAAAATACTTTAAAGGGTCGAATCTAGATCAAACGGTGAGAAGCGAATCCCTTGATTGAAATTGGACAGCTGAATGCTGTACGGGAAGTACTGAAACCTTTTAATTCATTTATGTCCTATGCCAATTGTTTCACGGTTTGCCTTTCTTAACCCACTCAATAACGATGGAAAAGCATGAAGAGTCCGAGGCTGATTTCCCCAAGGCTCCCGAGGTCCGTTAGCTCCTATCTCAACCAAAACCAGCTTGATTCATCTTTGAAGCATGTAGATTTCCTAGATATTTTAAGGAAAATAGTTTCATGTGGGCTTGACTGCATTTCTACATACTATGCTTCCCCTACAGCATACAAGCTTTATCTTTCGTCTTATCCAACTTTCCATTCTGAATTGAAGGTTAAGATTGACACAATCACAATGTCACGGCTCTACACTATTTTATTTTTAATTTTTTTCTATAAACTATTTTGATACCAAAGTTTGGACATCCATTTCTCTATTAAACTTGCACTAGCAAAAAAAATATAAAAAATATTTTCAATAAAATAAAATAACCAAAATACCCCTTAAATCTTCAAGGGGTATTTTGATCATTATATTTTATCAAAAAAGTATTGTTAATATTTTTTATAGGTACATCCCAATGAGAAGATGGCACGTACCAAATTTCATATTCATACAATTTGTATAAAAAAAACTTAAAAATAAAATACTTTGAAACATCGGATCTAAGATCAAGCGGTGAGTGGCTCTCTTGATCAAAATTGGATGGCCAGATGGTCGGGGAAAGATAGAATTTCTATATTGTAGGAGAAACATAGAAACCTTTCCCTTCTACAGATACGGTCCATAAAGTATAAAGAATCCATCTTTAAGATGGATGTATGTAGGTGCTCCATTAAAAATAATGGAAACTAACAACCTAAATGTTTCTTACTAGAATTATTATTTCTAGTTTTTAAAAATTATTTATTTTTTTCATATTCATGATCTCCATGTTAGAGATTACATGTCTTTAAAAGTAGTCTTAAAATCCATCTCAAAAATAGATTTATTAAGAGGCCCGCATTTCTACATGTGCAGGCTTGACCACAAAGGCCCGTATTTCTACATATGCAAGCTTAACGGCAAAGGCCCACATTTCTACATATGCAAGCTTAACCGCATAGAAACCGGTCCATATTTAAATGTGTGGTTTGCCGATCAACTTTGTACCGAATGGGTTTTTCTTTTCTTTTTCTTTTGTTTTTTTTTGGGGTAAACGACTGGGTCTTTCTTCCCGAGTACTTTTAATCCTAGAACGTTCTTGAATATGTGATCTTCATTTGAATCTTTTTCAAAAGCGTGCATACGATGCAGCTGTCGGGATGTCATACATCAACTCCCTCAAGCAGATTACCTATTGAGAGGATAGTTTCAATTTTAAAATTTTGGGAACCATTTAAAAATTATTTGATGATTATTTTCAAAAGAAAAAAAATTCAAATTTCAGTTCTAATACTTGGATCCCACCATCAAAAAATTGATGATTATTTTCAAAAGAAAAAAAATTGAAATTTCAGTTCTAATACTCGGATCCCACCATCAAAAAATTGGATGGCCTCCGTTCAGTCTCAAAACATCATTCTTTTAAGTGCATAGGGTATCATTTTGTGAATTGTTTTTATTGATGTTAGTATATGAGTTGAAATAGAAATATACAATCAGAATTTTATGTGATCACCGCGACACCAACTTCACTTTATAAAGCGAAATGTTAGACAATCAAGAAACAAAATATTCGTATGATAAGTCTAACTAAGACAAGGTTGTTGAGGTAGCTTAATAACTTGATAAAAAAGGTAGAATTCAAAATGAATGACTCAAATATACGATTAGATAAGATAAAATAAACTTAAATGAGCTGACCATATTCAACATAGACCCAAAACAACGCTCGTTAAAAGGTGTGAATTGGATCAAGTGAAAAGCTCAAAAAGCCTAAAGGCAAGCTCAAAAGCATATAATTGAAATTAGTGAAAAAAGATACGAAAACTTTATGACCTCATTAAAAGTATGAACCTTGATAAAGCAAAATAACGAACCAAGATTGCATAACCAACCCCAAATAATTGAAAAAAAAAGTTGAGAAAGTTATATACCCAAAATTTTCAATCATGAGGCTATCTTTTGGCTTTTCAAATACACGTGGTTTAGACACGGACCATTCACTTGTTAAAAACATCCAAGTACTCGATGCCTATTTTGATGGAAAAAACACAACAATACTTTAAATCCTGATGTTTTATCCCTGAAAACACGCCCTTAAAGTGACAAATAGCTAAATTCCTCAAGGTTTTAAGACACTCATTGATGAAGAGCACCAATCACTAAACCAACAAAAAGATTGATCTAGTTAAAACTGGCCAGTCCATTGATAGAACTAGTTCAATTAAATTTTAAAATATAAAGAAAATATCAATAATACTTTTAAAATATATAATATAGTAAAAAAAAATTAATATTGTCCAACTTTGTTTGGTTGGTCAAACCAATCTAAACCAGCTGGTCGAATCGGCCAAAACCCAAACCCTAATTTTGACCGGTTTTTTTACCAATGACAGTTTTTACTTTGAATTAAACAAGTTAAAGACACCAATCAGCAGTCGGATCACTACACTAGTTTGGTCCAGTCTTACTAACTGTGGTTGTAACCAAAAATAATAGTAGTTTTCGTCGGTTACAATAGATGAAGTTGCTAAATGCTCACACTTCAAGGCCTGGCCAAAGAAAAAGGCATGATCGGCAATCACTGTTAGTGAGGGCCTAACAAAAGTCTAAAAATTAGGACGATGATGACAACAACAAAAAAAAGGTTTTAAGGGGAAGAAAATCCACTAGAAAACTCACTAGAGGCCACTGCCAACGAATAAAACATGAAAAAATTACAAGTTCATCCATCCTCGGAGTGGACTCCTCTCAAGGAATTCCGAATTTCCATACAAACAAACTGAAAGTAACTACAACACGAAGCCAGGGAGAGAGAAAGAGAGATTTCGGTCAGGTATAAACTCACTTTGGCAGACCAGTTTGAGGGTGGATAAGAGCATCCCCATGTGCACGCAATTCAGGACCTCGCCCTGGCCTTGTGCAGATAAAATAGCTCACACTCCCGCCATGTTTTGATAGAAATTTTGAATCTTTGGTTTCAGGAGGAGGCGATAAGCTTTGGACATCTTTCATTGACCCTATACCGGCTTCTTGGAGTATTGACTGGTCCCCAATTACAAAGCTAAAACAAAGACAAGACCACTTAATATTGTTCTGGTCTTCCCACTAAAGCATACTTACAAGTTCCTCGCGGGGAACATCACAATAGATGAAGAAGAAAAATGGAAAACCATGTTATCCTCACTATTCTAAGTTTTTTTTTTTTTCCTTTGCTTTATTTTTTCTCACTTAATCAAGAAAGAGGAAATGTGTGCTCAAATGCAAGTACATATTAGCACAGAAAACTTGTGATATATTCATTTTAAAAAAAAATCTAAAGGCATAAAAAAGCAAGTTGAGGAAAAATAAAGTTTAAAAATATAACAATTATTTTGGTAATTATTTTCTAGATTTGACATAATATTCCTTGTTTTTAAATTTCCCAAGACCTTTCTTACAAAATCCAAAACCTTCGAAAAATTATTTAAGAAATTAATTTGCCAAGAAATTCCAGAATAAAACTTAACATTATGTAAAAATATACCTAGACAAATCATCTCCTGGAAGTGGGGGGAAATAGAAAAGCAGCCTTTGAAGCAAAAGACTAGCAACTTTTCTATTGGGCGCAAACATGACGGCGTTGGGGCCCGCATCAAAAGTGTATGAGACCTGTGATACGTGATAGCATGAAAATTACAGGAAAACAATTGGATCTTCACAAAAACAATTAAGGAGTCCAAGTGCATTCCCTTGGAAGGTTCCAGAGAAAAAACACATTATGTCCACGCAGAACCCCCCCTTTCTTTTCTCCCTCCCTCCCTCCCCCCCTCCTCTCTCTCCCTCCCTCCCTCCCTCCCTCCCACCCTCCCTCCCTCCCTCTACAGATATTATCATCCCAGTTCACACTACCAATAACAATTTTTGCCAACAATAACAATAATGAGAATAACATAACATAAACCATGTCATAAAGGACACAGTTCAACATGTAGTTGATATGAAGAGAAAAATACATCCACAACAAACAAAAGGATAATAGAAAAGTTCATACCTGAGGAGTTCCTTCAGACTGGTTCCATCTTTCAATGCAATTGATTATCCTGGTAAGCAAGTGCTTAATTTAGACTCAACACCTTGTATGCCAAGAACACACCAATAAATCTTAACGAAGTTCAACACATCTATGAAAGACAAGCAACCAGATACACGACACTCTCACAATTATAACTAAACATGCCTATGAGATGTATTGTTCATGTAGAATATAGGGGGAGATGTATCCAAGCACACAGCATGAAACTGATTACTATCTGCACTGGTCAACTTTGCAAAAGTTGTGAAATCGCGATTTCTAATGGCTTCTTCCATTTGCTTTATGCGTTTGGGGACAATATTCTGTGTCAAAAAGCGAGGAGTTTGTGTAAGCAGTGAATGGTATTGCCATCCACTCTAAAATGTTTGATACACTAAAGCAAACAAAATAACACCTGAAACAGCAACATCAAATGAATATTAATAAGATGAACCAGAAAAAAAAAATCACGTGCATAGTTTGTTCTTATAACTTTTCTTTTTTTTTGGTAAATAGCAAAATTTCATTAATGGGAAGCATGTACAAGCACCGAATGAAAGTTAAGCTGCAATTTGTTTCTTGAACAGTATATGTCAATGGAAGAACGTATACCATACGCCTTTGTTAGTGTATGGTACACATCCAGAGCATCAATCCTCAACAATGGGCAATGGAGATAGGTCGGAATTCCCGATGATAAAAATTCTTGTAGATCTCCATTTTCTGTAAACGAAAGGGATGGTGGATGTCCCATCTATGTATACTTATCAAATGCTTGTAACCAACAAAAACTTTCTTATGCAGAAACAGATTGGATATGGAATGAATTCCAAGTAAGATAGGCTAATGAATTTTGCACAACATGAAATTGCTCATAATCAATGCAATGAAGAGCAGAGTAAACAAATTGAACATTACCTGTGATCTCTGAAGCAAAAGCTCACTTGTTTCAACACTCTCACGCATACCAGTGGTGCTACTTATTTCCTTCTGGTGTGAACTCACCTGAATGACACATTTATTAAGGGTTTAACTCATGAACAACTGTGGCAAATATGAGACATCAACAATACAGAATGAGCATAGTCCACAACATTAATGAGGGTTGGACTTGAATAAAAAACTTACTGTTTGCATTATAAAAAAGTTACACCAAATTAGGCAGCAGTAACATACAGCCTGGAATACTAAACCAAAATAAAGACCTGAAGATCTGATGTATGTCAGAGGAGCTAAAACCAACATTGCGAAATTCGCTTCGCTTCGGCCGAAGGGGCCGAAGCCTCCGGTTTTCCACTCTAAACCGAAGTGATAGGAAGAAAAATGCAGTCGCTTCAGCCATATTCGCCGTTCTTTGGGTTGATTTGGCCACTTCGGTTGGTGAATTCGGCTGAAAAATAGCGCTTCGGCCGAAGAGGTTGAGGGAGAAAATGAATCTCTCTCTCTCTC